TTCAGGATTTAGGGTTTAGGGCTGGTTTTTTGAATTTCTGTCATCTGAAGCCCAGAAGTAGGTCAAATACTAGCCGAAAACACGTAAATGTATCCCAAAAGGCCATTCATACTGTTGGGGTTCTGTTATCTATATAATAACCAGCTGAAAGTATTTGTTCTAAAAGGGGTCCAGGGAACTGAGCGGAGTGTCTTGGAGCTTTCAGATACAAAGTGGTGCAAGATGTTTTTCCACCCTGGGGCTCCGAATAGCGTGAAAAATAGGGTTTCGGGTTTGGGGTTTGGGGTTGATACTACAAATCCTGCATGACCTTAATCTCCTGTAAGTTCGTTCGAGCACTAATTTCTTGTTGTTTGTGTTGTTGCCTTGTTCTTGCTTGTTCGTACTAGTTTCCACGGGTTCGACCAAAAAAACTGGTTTCTTAAATTTCGTACTAGTTTCTTAGGTTTAGATGGTTTTGTATACGCATGTTGAGTTTGCTGTGCTAAATGAGGCCATATGGCTTTCTGGATGAGTACCCCCCAACAAGAAGATCTTATAGCTTGCAACGCAATCATCCCATGAAAATTATATCCTGAAGCCCTTCTCATTAGTTGAACCCTGGCCTATCCAAGTTGAGTTCAAGTAATCCTTCCACAAGGCTTATATACCCTCGACCCTAGCCGGTCCTAGCCTCTAAACCCTAAGCCTTGCAGAGCCCATCATGTAGCACCCGTGAACCCTAAAGCCTCAACTTCCTTACAAACCCCGGCATCGCATCGCATCATGCACCAACGATGGCGTGGAAGTTGCCTCGGCAGGAAGGTGCGCCCCCTTTCGTCTTAGCTTGCAGGAGGTGATTGTTGTTGACATGCAAGAATTTTGATATGCCATATTCTCAGCGGGGCTCAAATCGATTTGACTGGGTACCTCTGTACTAGCAGCGGGGGCCATGACGGCTTTGCTTGCGCAAGAGTGGGAATCCTGTGAAGAGCTGCGAAGATTGGCTTCAAAGCTTCAGCTGGTTCCTCGCAAAATCCAGTCCTATTTTACATGCCATGTATACGTGACAGTTCATGCTCATCCTAGGTGCAGGTGACAGGAACTGGGACAACCCGTGAAAATATTACGCTGAATGAGAAAGTCTTGGCTGGTTCTCTGAAGCACCTTGGTACACGGCCTTCGGTGCAGACATTTATGCTGCACATTAAGTCCCTGTACGACTTGATGGAGATCCAAATTCCTGGCTGCTTAGCATGCTATCTTAAAGACTGAACGTTCATCAATTTGGATGATCATGGAGCCCTGTGCCCGTAAGGAGCCATGGTTTACAGCCAGGCATGGAGTATGCGTCGCATGACATCCCTTTTCAACTTGATCGTGCGTCGTGGGCATGTCCCACGTGAAGCTTCGATAAGACGCCTCATGGAGGGAGTGGGGTTGGTGGTGACCTCCAATAGTGATGTTGACTGCGATGCTCTTGCCGATGCTGAAGCTGATGGTGATGGCGATGATTTCTCTGATTCGGCATGCGAGGGAGGTGAGTCCGAGAACGACCGCACTGATGATGAAGAACTGGAAGGTATCTAAGCTTGCACATCTGAAGTGCATCCTTTGCCCTTTGCCTGTGACTGGAAACGGATTGGCTTCATTAGCACATGTTCTAAGGTGCGAATCTTGAGTCAAGGATTGAAGGCGATGATGCCATCCCAGAGGTTGGTTAGCAGCTGTATAAGTTTTTTAGCCACCATACTTGGAGGGTCAGGGGGATTTACTTATGGGGATATATTAGGTTATAGGCCTGGGGATATATATATATAATATTGGATAGATAGGTACCCCTGACCTTCCAAGTACTGCTTCAAATTATAGATCTATTGGGAGGCTGTTGCTCCTATGGCTTCAGCTGCGACCTTGCCTGATGTGGAGACCCCTATCATCCCGACCCTCAAGCCTGCACACGTCGAGATTACGCCTACTGATCCAGAGCCTTCGCCAACCCCAGCAAGTACTCCCAGGGATGAAGGCCAAGGGTACACACAGGGGCCAACGCGAGCGTGCAATTAATACACTAGCTTATAGACCCGCTAAACCAAACCCAAAACAAAATGTATGCAGGTTCTACGACTACAACGACTCCATCTGCAAAGAACCGGATGCCTGCGAATGGATTCGTGCCTGGTGGTATGGTGCAAGTAACTAGGATTAATTGCATTAAATGCATGGAGGAGCCAAAGGATTAGCCTCCTAGATATGTGCCCTGCCTACTGAGCTACATTAGCTTGGTCAAACTTTGCCATTTTGCATGCTTTCGAAGATTAGGCTAATGGCCTGGAGATGCTACAGCAGCTGAACAAGCTGGCGGAACTTCTTGAACTGCAGAAGAAGTTGAAGAAGTTGCAAATTCTTCAGGAATTGCAGATTAAGACAACGCCCACCCCTGCCTACTCTGGATGCAGCTCAGCTATCATAGCTAGCTAGAGATCACTACAGTACTTATAGTACCCTATCTAACACCAACCTTTGCTCATGAGGCCTGGGCAATGTGGAGACTGTCCCATGGGACATGGATGGCGTGGCAGCAGCTTTTCCTGCAGCAAAGGGGGTAATAGTCAGTGGACATGAAAGTCAGGGTGTTTCAGGGCCCTCAAATCCTTTATTTAACCTAGGCTACGGAAACTGCGGGTGCTGAGCAGAGTGACGTGCCTGCAACAAAGCCTGAGTCAGACCCCCGCCACTCAGAGCCTGCCGGAATGGACACAGCAACAGCTGCAACTGTGCCAGCTGCCGCAAACCCCCGCCAAGTCAAGTGCCCTGCCCCAGCTGGAGCCTGCCCAGACCTCCCAGGTAGAGCCCACCCTGGCAACTAGTGCACCCACTGCCATTGCAGAGCCATCCGTAGCAATGCGCACAAAGCAAGCACTTCTGCGAGGTCTGGCATTGAGGGAAGCTAGCAAGAAGCAAGAGGAACCGGGTGAGAAGGGGTTTGTGCCAAACCCAGTTGCCACGCCAGCGCGCAGCAACACGCCGCCCCCCATCCCAAGACCTGTTGCGACGCCACCAAGCAGCAACACGCCCCCCCGCGCCCCAACTCCCGGCACAGTGGTCGGCAGTGAGGATGAGGTGCAAGCAGTTGCGGACATGCTAGCCAGCGCTGGCAACTCCGACAACGAAGCAGGGGATGCCACGCAGCATTATGAGACCGAATACGTTTTCCAGGATTCGGAGTGTGAGGACGAAGCTATGGAGCCGGATCATGATGATGGGGTTTCGCTGTCAATCAGGGAAAGCTCTGAGGAAGAAGGGCAGCCCCTCAATGTCACTGAACCTGAGACTGCCAAGGAGGACCTCTGGCTGGCAGAGGCTGAAGTGGCTCGCAGGTTTGGTCGACCTGCTGGGTGGGGACAAGGGGCATTTGCTTTCTTGAGTCCAGAGATGCAAGAGGAGCCAAAGCCTCGTGGCAGGAAGCCTGGCAAGAAAGGGAAGGGGGTCAACAAGTGCAAGGGTGAGTCGAAGGATGGAGAGCCTTGCGCTGAAGTGGCCCCACGCGGCCGCAAGGGGCGAGGTTCGAAGCCAGCTGCTGACGAAGGTGAGCCCCGTGTGGAGTCGGCCGCACGTGGTCGCAAGAAGCGATTGTCAAGGCCAGCTGTGGATGAAGGGGAGTCTTGTGCCGAGTTGGCTTCAAATGGGCGCAAGAAGCAGGTGACGAGGCCAGCTGAGGATGAAGCTGAGGAGCCCCCCAAATCCGCGACACGTGGTCGCAAGAGGCGAGCTTCGACGGCAGCTGATGATGAAGAGCCCGAGCGCTATGCTGAGTTGTCTTCCTGTGGCCGTGGCCGCAAGAAGCGAGTGTGGAGGCCAGCTGAGGATGACAGTGAGGAAGCCTGCACGCGTGGTCGCAAGAGGCGAACTTCGAAGGCAGCCGAGCATGAGGTTGAGGAGCCCCGTGCCAGGTCAAGGCGAGCTGTGAAGCCAGTTGACACTGCTGAGCCCAGCGTTGCCAGAAAGAGCAAGAGAGGTCCAACCCCCAAACCCGCTCCCAAGGCCAAGCGTGCCCCAAAGACCCCTGTGGCAGCAAAGTCCAAGCCTGCAGCCAAAGCACCCACTACCTCCCGTGAGGCCTCAGATTCCGATCAGAAGGCTAAGCTTTATAAGGCCAAGCTGAGTCGTAAAAGCGCAGCCTACCACAGGGCATTGAAGCTTGCTCGTAGTGAGGGAAAGGAGGAAGATCTCTGCCGGGATTTGGCACGCGAGGCTACTAGCTAGCAATTCATCAGAGTTTAGCAATTAGAATAGCTCGGGCTAATACCTATAATTCAGGGCTCAGCTAGGATTTTATAGGTTTATACGGTCCAGGGTTTGGGGCTCATGTTGATCGAGTTTGTATAGGCATGATGCTGTCTGATTTCTGCGTATCTCAGGCCTACAAGACAACAGAGTGAGCCTCTACAAAGTAGACGCACCAGCTTTCGATGATGAGTGATTGCCTTGCTCCCTGCTGTTTTGCAGCAACATGTCAACTAGCGCAGTTTCAATTCTATCAAGCTTGCTGTGCCATAGCAGGGCAGTGGATTATCCAATGAACCTTGCAGCTCAACATGCGCTGCAGGGCCTCTAGCATATGTGTTTGTGAACACATGGGTGTACGGCCGGGGATCAGTGCCGAATGCCACGGAGGATTCACAAAACTGAGGTGCAACATTGAGCTTGCAATACATATCTGCATGACTACCTTTCCCACCTTTGAATTTGCACTGCCCTCCGCCCTACGCAGGTACGACCCCGTTTGACATAGCATCTGCGAGGGTGGCATCCGGAAGTCTGGCTGGCTGAATTAAGTAGCATGTTGGGGCCTCCCATGTTTGAGCTAGCTTACCTGCAGCATATGCATTGGATCCCGGGAGGAACATGCCCAGTCCTGCTGCGTCCGCTGATGTGTGTTGCTCCATAGCCTGAGAGTTGAGTGAGCTGGTCCGTGTGTAAATGTTAACGTACGGTCTAGACTGATCCAGCTTCGTTGATAGAGGTGTGGACGTTGTAGTTCCAAAGGGGGCACACGTTTGGATGTAGAAGCTACTATAGTTTTTTGTACTCAACCACAGCCTGCCATTGATTGATCACGATTGGTCAACGCTCTTCAGAAGTTCAAGCTTCAGGTGCCTTGCTACGGAAATCCCCCAAACCCCAAACCCTAAACCTTTAAGCCCTAAACCCTTAATTAAACCCTAAACCCGACACCCTTAAACCCGTAAAACTAGAAGCGAAGCCTAATTCCCTGCTGCAGGAATGCAACGTGGATTTGGTGATCAAACTACTACGTGCTCGTCGCGTGGGGTCCCAAACCTCATTCCGGCTTTGATTCAAGTTCGAGCTCCGAAGGTGCCAACAGGGAGTGTATGGTTATATCGACCAATTATTCCCCATGTTAAGAACCTATCCCCTACAATGGTATCCCCCCAAAAGTACCCCCCAAAGGTTTCAGGAGCTATAGTAGTGCATGTACTATAGGGTTAAAGATCTGTGGGTTGTACTTTTGGTGGGGGTATAGTGCATTCCGAAAAGGTATTCATTGCCTGCGTATTGCTACTTCTGTGGTCAACGGACACATCGCCCCAGTACCACCTAGTGGAGCTGTTCTCTGGTGTTGGAAGAATCGCAAGAGTCTACGGGTCATCTGGGTTGAATGCAGCTGAGTATGACTTCATACACGGTGGTGCTATGATTTTTTTTACGGCAGCTGGCTACGCGTTCCTAGCCATACTTCAGGGATCCAGACTTTAGGGCGAATTGCTTTAGGGCTTCACGCTTGGGGTTTATATAGTACGTTAATTAATATGGGGCCTTATAGGGTTTGAACAGGTTTGTAATGGATTAGGGTTGAGGGTCTTGGGTTTGCGGCTTTAGGTTGGGTTCTGCCCCCACCCAATAACCCCGGTATCAACCAGCTACCTCCATATATTATATATTATATATATATGTACACCTTTTTAACTCTTGGGTGGGGACAGTGCCCAAGGTTTTATAGGGTTGAGATGACTGCCCTCTTGTTGGAGGTTCACGGTAAGCTTTATCCATAAAACCGGCCTATACTATTATATCATACTTCGGGAAGCTTTTGCTTGGATAGGCTTATATCGATATCCAACCTCCAAATGAGAAACCTAGCTTACGAACCACGCGGCCCCTGTTGAGCTAGTTGGCTTGTATCCCGGAGAAAGATTCCCGTATCCTACTCAACCAAATAAGATCTTTTGTGTTGCCTAGGTTAGCAATTCACATTGTGATGTGTTTGATCCCCTTTGGGCTGCTGGTGGCTGGACCCGATTGCTCAAGCTGGACAGTTGTCAGCCGGGGCACGTCTTGGCGTACGGTTGTCAATCCTGGTGGCAATCTTTGCTTGGAATGGGTGCGGAACAATAATCTGGCTGTCAGCCGGTGCATTGCTACACATTATGGGGGCATGACTGCTAGTAGGGTTCTTGTTTGCGTCTTGGGGTGTAATATACAGGGTCATGCAAGGCTTTACTGGTGGCCTGGCTGAGGTTGACGCTGCTCTTGATGTTGTGCACTGCAATGCAATGTCTTTGGGT